GTCATTAAAAAACCAATTGTAGCTTCATGCAGTCCAGCTATTAGTGTCCAGAATATGTTGACGAGGAGACCCATGTGTAATACTGACACCATCTACATAATATGAATTGATATCGTTGTGACTGTTAGGACTACCATCATAGGGATAAACAGCATCAGTTGATCCATATTGATATCCCACTACTCTGCCACACACTTGACAGTAACTGATATCATGTGATGGAAATTTAACTGATTTTGAATCAAAGGGCTAGTAAAAGGCATCTTAGTTCTTAAAACTATGGAGCCTATAATGTAACTGATTGGTGACCTTTTTAAATTTTGATAGTCTATCTATCATGTGATATTCTGCATTATGTACAGGTTCTATTGTTAGATTCATATCATTTTTTGAGCATTGTTTTTATAGCAAAATGAACTATTCTCTACTTTTTGCTTTAACTTATACAACATCTTCATGCAGTTGCAAAAGTTATATTATAATAAGTTACATTGTGACATTGGAAAGTTAAGCTTGTAGCTGGGTTTTTCACAAAGTATTTAAGTGAGCTAAAAGCATGCTTCATATGAGCTAACAAACCTTATAGCATGTGGAGTAACTGTTAAAATTGCAATTTCTGTTTTGAATCAGCTCAAACTTTCTACACAACACAAGGAAATGTATTTGGATTAGAAAAAATATAAAAAAGGGAAATTCTCCTTTAATAACTTTGGCAAAATTTGTCAGGATTGTGTACTATAGTTATCTTATGTAGAGCAACTTAAAAAAATTTGTAGAAAAATTCAATTTAGATCAGAATCACCTCAAAGGCTCAAACTTTCTACACTACATAAGGAAATGTATATAAAAATGAAAAAGTCTCTCCTTTTTAGTTTTGGCAATATTTGACCAGAGACTGTGTACCATAACACAAACTTTACCCTATTTTGGAGCAACTTAAAAATCTTTTAGGTTTAGCTTTGTCATTGCTTTACTGAAGCACCCCCTGAAGTCTACCCTTTGGATTCTACTATAATACAATTACAGAAGGACATGCATTCCTTGTAGATACTTTCATTCATATTTTTAGCTATAAAATGTTATTGCTAAACAATAGATCTACCTTTGTAAGCAAATTATTATAATTATCAAGATGTCACTATTATTTACTTTTGTCATGCTATGCTTTTATATTAAAACTGCACTTTGTAAAAATTATTTCCCTCTGCTTCATTTTAAAACTATTTTGGAATAGCATAAAAATTAAACTGAGAGCACACTGCTTGAAATAAAAAATACAAGGCAACTAAAATATCTAGAATAAACTAATAAGTATTAGATTATTATGTAAGAAACTGGTATCTATTTTAGTTATTCATAAAAGTTTTGTAAGTCTCAGCAAATCCTGGCAGGAGTCTTGGAGGAAGTTCACCATCATTATAGATATTATTGTTATTATTACTACTTGGGCTTGTAGCTGTGTTAAATTTATTTGAAAAGCAGTGTCTCATACAACAAACGTATCGGCCCATGTAGCACAGTAAGTAAACAAGAGGAAGTGACATCAATACAACTTGAAAGACTGCTACCAGTGTGGTTGTACCGTTATCCGAGTTGAATGGTGTGAACTGTAGAGTATTGATGAGGATGAGATCAATAAGAAGGAATGACTTGATGTGATTGTGGAATTTCTTCTGAAAAGGAGCACACAAGTAATGCAGAAATAGGATACAGAGAATAAGGGCCTCTTTTATTATAATATTCCAAAATTTGCCATCTGATGAGTAAATTGGAATAAGAACCAATAATATACGATACAAGAAGAATAAACCAGCAAAGCATCTACAGTTATCCTTAAAACAACCTTGGAATGAATCTAAGAATGGTTTCAGTTTCATTCTTAATCTG